ATTTACGATTCTCTTGCCACATACCCCTGGAGGGGGGGGGGTCCAAAGGTATACGATTTCGTCTCATGGAGGTGATGCCAGGCCCTCTTTTCACTTCAGCTAAAATCTGGCTCTCCACACCATCCCTAAAGAATGTTTAAAGCAGGTCGTGCTCAGAGACCATCCCTTCTTGTTTTTTGCCGCCTGTCCCTATTTCCATCAAATTATCTTATACTAGCGTTGTTTCATCTGTTTTCTTCTTTTTGTACCCTGATTGGCCCTAATATTCTTGTTTTCCCCCACTCTTTTTTTTGACAGCGGAGCTATGTAATTCAGTTGAGAGATTGGCATATTATTTTGATATTGTTTATAGTTGGGGTAGGTGGCGCGGACATTCAGCGCTAGTTGCTACCGAAATGATCTTGGAACGAATCCCGCCCATACGCGTTCACCTCTGCACGTCTTCGGTTACACATGTTCAGGCATAATTTCTGAAAGGCACGTCCCCGGTATTTAGACCTATTCGTTGCAAGGTGGTCCAGTGTTTGAGCGCAGAGGACAGTCCATATCTGAGGCCAACAAGAGGCGTGGCCGCGAGACCGACGAGGTCGAGACAAAAATGAGGCAGAGACATGTGTATAAGGGAGCAATAAGCAGTGGTCGTCGCACCTTGTATTAACTCTTCCCTATGAATTTCATATTGTTCTTTCTTCCTTTTTTAATTCTTTTTTCATACTTCTCTTCTCCCGACACTGTTAACCCCGTTTAAGAGTTCTTTCTTCAATATTTAGATAGAGTCTCTTTTTGGATTTGAACTAGGCTGCTGGGCTCTTATTCAGTGAGTAAGACTTTTTCATGAGGTCGAATCCCTAGCGAGAAATACCAACGGTGGCAAAGCTTATTCAGAATGTGACCCTATTTTCAAGGAAAAGGTCCTAAAGGTTCTCACTTCATCTTCGTGTTTCCTTCAGACCTTCCTACAAACCCTTCAGATGGCCCTCGCGGGGGTTCGTATTACGAACCACCTTTTCCTAGTGTTTCTAACAGTTCATTTTTAGCGCGATTCAAACGTTCCTTCAACGTCATGGTCCTCCATGAATAATGCAGTCTTCCATAGTCTGGCGTTCAGGGCCTGAAAAACCGTCCACGGTCTTAGGCGAAGCCCTCCTAAGCTTTGCCCTTTTCAAATCGTCTCCGAAAGGGCGCATGGAATTCCTTGACAGCTTATGCTCGGCAATTTAACGAGCAAGGAAGCCATCCTCAGTTGGCCTTTTTCGGCTGGCCAGTGGGGCTTGACATTTCCACACTTTTCCGATAAAATATCTTTTTCTTTTATTTCAATTATTTTGCAGTAGA